AACTATATATTTTAAGCTTAAACAAATAGGTCTATTTTGCATTTTAACTTCTAATTTTTTTTCTAAGAAGTAAAACCTAAAAGATCTCTCCCCTTAAGCATACAAAAGATCAATAATAATAACATGTATTTTTATGTATTTTAAACTAAACCAAATAAATCACTTTTACAGGTATAAATCATCCTCTTACAGCACTGGTCAGAAAAAGAAAATTCAGTATTAACAATCCAAGATCAAAATATAGACAATTTAACCCTGATCTGATAGATCCACCTTGAATTCCTTTCTCTTCTTTTTGGAAGGCTGAGTCTTCAGTCTCTTTTCCAAATAAAACCCCAAATAGTAATCTCATATCATTCTCTCCCTGCCTATTTTCAGAAAAAGTTTCAGAGATTTGATGTTTTTAACCAGGATAAACACTCATGTGATGTTCTATGTATTGTATAGGACTTAGATTAAACTAAGTATGGCAAACACAGTAATCCTCACATTTTATTGATGAATCATAGCTTCTTTAATTATCATCTGGCAGCTTTAGAATTCTTTTCGGTACAATATGACCTGCTTTGTCAGTGGCCATCAAAGTAAACTCCTGAAACTTTTAAAGCAATTATTTTTATGTCGTTTGTTTTACAGTGAAGGCCTTATTTTTAATTAATGGCTGAAGAAATTAATGGCTGAAGAAATAATTACATAAGCTATCTCTCATATACATTGGGGATTTTTTAAATAGAAACCACCTGCTAGAATGCTGTAAGGATGGTTCTGTAACATTACTGTAACACATGACTCCACTAAACTAATGGAGGCCACCACAGAGGACATTAATGAGCTGGCAGGACTAAACCAACCTTGGGAAAAGTAGGTAACCTGTTAGATCTTTCTGGGTTCATGATGCCCTTAGTGTTTCAGGAATTTTTTCACAGTGCCCTGCAATTCACAAACTGTGTGCTATGATGCCCTGTGCACTATGATTGCCCTTGGGAACTATGGGCTTAACAGAAACAGTGAACTCACACAGGAGTGCTGTGAGATATTTTAAATTTTCAAGGGAAACACAGTGATACTAGATACAGTAGTTTGTGCACTGCCCAACATCCAATAGATGTCAAATATCACTGTGTTCCCTTTAAAATATCCTGCTGTGCCCCTGTGAGTTTGCTGTGGCACCCTGAAACGCTGCAGCACAGGGTTTGGGAACTGTGGAGTCCTTGGGGTTCTCTAAGCTTGGTTCTTTTCTTGCAAACATTTCATTACCTGGCTAGGTAACATCTTCAGTGCTAAAATGGGATGGGGTTTGCTCTCTATTTATATACTGTGGCATGCCCTGCCAGTGGTGGTGGGGGGTGGGGGTTTTCTTTTGCTCCTCTGGGAGTTCCTTGATTAGCATCTGTTTACTGCTTGATTGTGTGCCTGGTGGTGACCTTTGCTTATCTGGGTGATGATTGCTGGTGAGGCAATCTTCTGGTCTTTGTCTCTTTTGAATAGTATGTAGATGTTGTTTATGTCTGTTAATTGCTGCCTTGTCTGAATACCAAGCTTCCAAGAATTCTCTTGCATTTTTGG